AGGATTCCTGGATTCCACATGTCTGATGGTGTGGTTCAAGTCTGGGACCTGGCAGCTTGAGAGACACACTGGGCATATGTGTGTGTCTGCTCAAAATCCAGAGGGGAGAATGTAGAAGAGATTGCAGTGCAGTCATCCCCCCTGAAGGGGGATGCTTTCTAGCTTGCTTTCTCTCTCTCTCTCTCTCTTTCTGGCCTTTTCCAGAGTATATGCACCCTATAGCAAACTTTAAAAAAGAGGAAAACACTGGGTGGCAGGTGGCATGGTGGTTAAGGGTGTTGGACTCCCACATGGCCAACCACAGTTCAAGTCCCAGACCTGGCTGCTTGCTTTCTCACCTTCTCTCTCTCTCTCTTGCTCTTGCTCTCTCTTGCTCTGTCCCTCTATGGTCAAATTAAAAATAAATATTCTTTTTAAAAAAAAGTATAGACTGGGGGAAAAACATTTTCAAATCATATATCTGATAAAGGACTTGTACCTAGAATATAGAAATTACTTTTGCAACTCAATAATAAGTTAAACAACCCAATTTCAAAATAGACAAAAGAGTTAAATAGGTATTTTTACCAAAGAAGAGATAAAAATGACTAATAAGTATGTGAAAAGATGCTCAACAACCATCAGTCATAAAGGAAATGCAAACTAAAAACCAATTCACTATAATGCCTATTGTGAAAAAAAGGCAGACAATTTAAGTGTTGGTGAGGATATGAAGGAACTGGAGCCCTCATACTTTCTAGGGGAAAATGTGAAATGGTAAAAAGTCAGTTTGGAAAACAGTATAAATGTTCCTCAAAATGTTAAATAGATTGACCACAGGACTCAACAATTGTACAACTAGATATTTACCAAGAGAAATGAAAACATGTCATAAAAACTAGTACACAAATGTTCATTAGCAGCATTATTTGCAAAAGCCCAAAGTGGAATTCAAGTATCTAATCAATTGGTGAATAGATGAACAAATTTGATAAGAAATTGTATTCACCAATAAAGAATGAATTGATATACAGACAAACATGGACGAACTTCAAAATCATTAAGTGAAAGAAGCCAGATGCAAAAGACCACATACTGTATGATTCTATGTAAATGAAGTATCCAAAAGAGGCAATATTTTTTTCCCCCAATTTTGCTATAGAATGTGTGTACCTGCTGGAAACAGAGAGAAATCACCTCTGGGGAAATGACGATACTGCATTTCCCTTTCCTCCATTCTCCTCTGAAGACTTTAGGCATGCACACACAGGCACCAGCATGTTTTCAAAGCTGCTAGGTCCAGGACATGAGTCGCACAGTTGGCCCCATGGGATCCAGCAGCCTTAACCACCACAACACAAGCTGGCCTAGAAAAGGGAAATATTTAGAGATATAAAGTCTATTAGTTGTCTGATTACAGGGCCAGCAGTGGCACAGTGGGTAAGGTGGCTGGATCCCACGTGGTCAACTCTGTGGTTCAAGTCTTGGATCGATCCAGCGGCTTAAGAAATATGCTTGTGTGTGTGTGTGTGTGTGTGTGTGTGTGTGTGCGCGCGCGCGCATGCGCACCCCAAATCTTGAGAAGAGAATGGAGAAGGGATTGCAGCACAGCCATCTTGCCTGAGCAGTGCTTTCTCACATTCTCGCTCTCTGGTGAGCACACATGCCCTATAGCCAAAAAAAAAAAAAAAAAAGAAAAAAGAACAAAACTCCCAAATCACTGGATTGTATACTTAAAAATGGGTGATTTTTTTGCATGTAAATTTAACCTCAATAAAGCTGATTTTTAGAGCTGGCCTCATACGGGGGCTGGATCCCACAAGGGTTACTGAGGTTCAAATCCTGGTTCTGACCATTTGAAAAACACATCAGGTGCATGTTTATGCATGCCCAAAGTCAAGACAGATGAAGAAACAGAAATGGGATTGTTGTGTGACCATGCCCCACTGGGGGGTGCACTTAACCTCTCCCTCTTGGTGTATCTCTGGTAGATGCACATACTGTCTGCAAAAAAAAAAAAAAAAAAAAAAATTGAATTTAAAAAACGTGTTTATTTATAGTTGGGTATAAATCCCAGGTCTGCTACTTACTAACTGTAGGATCTTGATATGTTATTCACTTTCAAGGTCTCAGTTTCCTCAGTATATAAGATGGGAATAATATCTTCCTCATTAGATAGTTGTGAGGATTAAATAAAGTTAATACTTATTCAATTTGTACAATACCATACTTTTTTTAAAAGAATTATTCATTTTATTTTACTTATTCATTTATTTTATTTTTTAAATTTGACCAGAGACACATACAGAGAGAGAGAGAGAGAGAAAGTGAGAAAGCAAGCCACCAGGTCCGGGACTCGAACTGTGGCTGGCCATGTGGGAGTGTCCAGTGGTTTAACCACACCACCAGCTGGTACCCAATACCATACTCTTTTTATCAACACACACATTATTTCCTGTGATATCTCTACTTCCAACGACTGACCATGAAACACCTATTTATTTATTTTTAAATTATGCCAGAGGGCAAGTGCACTCCCTATAGAGAGAGGAAAAGGGAAAAAGCACCCCACAGTACTGTGTGGTTACACTGCAATCTCTTCTCCTCTATCTCTCCATCCTGTCAGGATTTGGGGCACCCATGAGTATGGGCTAGGCTGCTTTTTTCTCTTTTTTTTTTTTTTTCCTTTTCTCCTGCTTGCCTGCTTTTCAAGCAGTAGTGTCAAGGACTCCAACTGCTGGGTTAACCATCTGGGATCCAGCTGCCTTAACCATTAGGCAACAGAGCTGGTCCCTATTTATTCACTTATTGCCAGAGAATGTGTGCTGACCAGAGAGGGCGAAAGCACCCCACAGTGGGGCATGTTTGTCCTGCAATCCCTTCTCCACTTCTCCATCCTGTCTGGATTTTGGACATGCATGCACATAATGTGCTTTTTCCCCAGAAGGAGAGGGGGTGGATTCCCTCTGAAGCCATGTGGGACCCAGCTCACTTAACTACTAGGCTATGGAGCTGGCTCCATGAAGCAATATTATATTCTACTTATTGCCAATGGATTTTACCAAGATACGGTTAGTGTATCTTAAGATTCACCCTGCTCAACTGTACAATTCACTGGTTATAAGAATATTCACCAAGATGTGCAGTCTCCACCGTTAAATTCAGAGCATTTTTATCGCCTCAGTAGATTTTCTTGACTAGTATAACTATTTTGAATGTAAAATAAAAAGGAACTATGGGTCAACAGATGGCATGGAGGTTAAGGCATCTGGATCCCACATGGTAGACTGGTGATTTGAGTCCTAGACCTCGCAGCTTGAAAACTGTGCCAAGGGGTTCAATAGGTGCCACAGTGGTTAAGGTGCTGGACTCCCACATGACTGACCACGTTTTGTGTCCCAGACCTGGCAGCTTGCTTTCTCATTTTCTCTCTGTGTCTCTCTCTGCTGAGTAAATGTGACTTGTAGCAAATTAAGTAATAATAATTATTAAGAAATAGAATTATATAATTATTTAAAACTGGGGCCAGCAGATGGTGCAGTGGTTAAGCCACTGGACTCCCACATGGCTGACCTATTTGAGTTTCAGACCTGGTGGCTTGCTTTATTTTCCCTCCCTCTCTAATGAATTAAAAAAAACAATAATAATTTTAAAAAATTTTTAAACAGAAAGAGAAAATCATACCAGGGGTGTGTGTGTGTGTGTGTGTGTGTCCAGAATCTTCAGAGAATGGAGGCAAGGACTGCAAGACAGTCATTGCCCCTGGGGGCAAGATTGGGTAACTTCTCACTCTCTTTCTCTTCCACTGTCTCTCTGGTCAGCGCAGTGCCCTATTGCAACTCCTCCCCCCCCAAAAAAAAAACCCTAAAAACTAAAAAACACAAAATCCATCCATCTAATTATTTATATATTGTACAGTTTCCACCATTGTTTAATCAGTGAATGCACTTATTGAAATATAACTATTTTAGGGAAATTGTTGTGCCTAAAAATTATGATATAAAACATACATATTAATTTTAAATCTACTTAGATATTCAATGAACAGTAATCTAAACCCTCATTCATCTTTCCTTACATTTTTTTTTTCTGATCAGAAATGAATAGCTGTTCACGATGGAAAATTGGTATGGAAATTGAAGGAGAAAAAAAAATCACTAAACAACTTTTTAACACACGTTGAGACCGAGGTTAAGAAAGTCTCAGAAATCTTGTAAATTTTCAACTGCCGATTTTGTCGGTAATTGTTTCCTTAACGTAGTGGATTTTACTCGGAGCTGCCTCTTTAAAAGAAAAAAAGAGAGCTAAGTTTGGGAACTCTTACGACACCTAGCTTCTAGCCGAGGTTAAATTCACTCGGAACGTAGTCTAGCGTCACCAAGGACCACCTCCTTGGCTCTACAAATAGGTCTGTGGGAAAAAGCTAAGGACGTCCCTGAGCCCTTCCCCAAGCGTCCACGTGAGGGCGCCCCTCCCGCCACTCCCCAGGGGCATGCGGTACCGGGAGCGTGGCCGGCTCACCACGCGGTCTCTTCCTGATCAAGAACCCCGTTACAGGCGGGCGCGGATTTTGAGCCGATCTTGTTTTATTAATGTACAAAAATCGGGTAGAAAAAGAAAAAAAAAAAGGGGACACTCCC